AAAAAAAAGAAATGACGTCTTTGTCAAGTTTGACATTTATTTTCATGTATAAAAATAGTACGACAAAAAAAGAAAAAACTTCATTTTATATATTTTTATCGTTTGATTCATATTCAACAAATGGCTGATTTAACGAGCATTCTTAAAGCTGAACTTGGAGTTAAATCTCACGATCAACATCATCATCATGATCATCACCATCAGCATGATAAAATTATTGTACCAAGTAGTATGAAAGTCAAAAATGATACTACTCATGAATTACAATCACAACTTGGTCATGGTAAAGAACTTGATGAAGAAATACAACACGAAAAAGACAAAGTTCATAATACCTAATTAAATTTATCATTGTTAATATCAACAGATGCAGAACATATTTTTGTTTTTTGTTTAAATTCTAATAAAAAGTATTTTATATTATATATTACTAAGTGCATTTACATATATCTTTTATATTAAAAAACAAACGACTATAGACAAATTGGTAGCTCTTGAATATGAGAGGTCTGATCAACTGGCATTATTATGAATGTTGATTGTTAGATAGAAAGGAAGTCGTACATGTAGATGATAAATATTGCAAAAGTGAATAGTAAGAAAAGAAAAGAATAATGATAGATGTGATTCAGATTTGAATATAAGACAGTACATATCGTTCTAATTTCTATTAAGATATAAGTATGTTATATTACTATCTCTAATTCTTTATTAATATATAGATACGCAATATTTTCATACAGGTTTATTATAAATTCCATAAAAATTTATCCAATCAAATTATTATTATTCAATATAAAAAGATAAAATCTTATTATCTTTTATCGTATAAATTAAATATGTATCTAATAGAATTTTCTAGATTCAGATCAGATCATTCAATTCCTTAATTTTATTGTTATTCATTGCTGACAAAATAAAAAAATTTTGTCATTTTTATACAAACTGAAGAAAAGCCAAAAAGAAAAGTATTGATAGTCACTGTAAAAGAAAACTAAGAATTAATCTTAGACACTGAGACAAGAATATTGACAATAAATGACTAGAATGAAAGGGTAATATAACATAAAAATGAATGGACTAGCATTCAAGCGCAAGTGATCAACACTTGTCGAATAATAAAAACAAAAAAAAGAAAATTATGAATGGGTAACTATCGAAAGTTAGTCATTTCATAATGGGCAAATCGTTCGTCATCATAAACAGGCCCAGAAGATACAGGTTGTGTTGATATTGGCTGTCGATAGTAATCCGAATTAGTTGCTGATGGTCGTCGTTGATGAAGATTTCCTCCTACACCTGCAGCTCCATAACGATTTATTGGTAATTGTGATTGTGTTAGATCATTAAGTAATGGTGATGATGGAAGAAGACGTGTAGTTGTTGTTACAACAGGTACATTTCCAGATGGATGTGTTTGTGGTAAATGAGCAATAAGTGTTGCTGTTGGACGTGGTGGTACATGGGTTGAATCATTATTTAATTCATTTTTTTCATCTAATTTTGGATGTGTAGCATTCCAGTAGTTATCCAAAAACACGGCTAAAGTATTGCAAGCATCTTCTAATTGATTTTGTTCTAATATTAAATCAAACATATCCTAAATAAAAAAAAACAAAATAATTAATATTTTATCGAATGTGTTTTGTTTTCGTTAACACATACAGCTGGACATTGTGTTAATTTATCAGCAGCAACTAATTGTACATTTAAATTTCTATGTTGACTTTTTCCACGTGATTTTATTAATTTTTGTAAAACTTTGGGTGAAGAAACTTTTAAATAGATAATTATGGGTGCTAATGATGTTTTTTGTAATTGAGCTGGATGATTTATTGTATCACAATCAAGTACAACTAATTGTAGACTTCGTGCTAATTCAAATATACGTTCAATTTCATCATGAACTTCTTTTATACCATTTGCACGGGTTGCCATTGGACTCATACCAGCTGCTGCTAACGGCGAATTCATACCACTACCAGCTCCACTACGTTCAATAAGTGCGATTTTTGATGGGTTATTTAAAAGACCACGTTTAGCAAGTGAAATATCAGCTGTAACACGTGTTATTATGATACGACCTTCATAACGATGTTTTAAAAAGTCAAAAACAGCTTTTTGCATCATATCTGTAACATCATAGCCTTTTAGGGATGGACCAACGAGGACAACAGGACGCATATTTGGTACAACATCATACGGAGTTATGTTTACAGCCTATAAATAATAAATTGCGTATAAAAAAAAGTTTAATGTATTCATTCATTAAATTATCGGAAAAGAAACTTATGTGAACGATTCTCTTCTATAATAATTAGATCACTCATATTCATAGTTCGTAATAAAAAGATTCAAATCTGTACTGTATTATTCATAATTTCAATGAAATTATTTCTATTTGAATCCGATAGTCACTTGAAAAAATTTTCTTTTTCGCATCTATTTTTATCAATCAATAAAATGCACTGCCTTTAATTCTTATTATGATCTATTAGATCTGAATTTAATTCGACAAGTATGACTTTAATTCTCAAGAGATGTATATAATATAATTTATTATTATTAACTAATGATTATCTCTATAAATTAATACCTTTTTGAAAAAATTTTTCTTTTTATCTTTGTTCGCATTAATATTTAATCTTGATTTTGTAAGACTATGATTATCACCATCAATATCGTTACCCAATAAATCATCACCAAATCCTGGAATGTTTTGATCGATGACATCTAAGCCTAAAGAAAAAGAAATTATTTCTTAATTTTTTTCCTATTTAAATTACTTTGTGTAGACGCTTTGATGCGTGGTATTGTATTGGTAAGTGTTTGTGAAGGATTTTTAGTTTTTCGAGTGGCATGTATACGTATTATTTCTAATTTTGCTGGACTTGGAATAAAACCTAATGGAGCATCAACTTTAACTAATCGTCCAATCCACCAATCATTATTAAATTTCTAAAAAAAAAAATAAAATTTTTATTTACAAAATTAATATTTAATTTTTTATCTTACATCTTTTATATGAAGAAATTCTTTTGTACTAAAAGCAATAGCTGCTTTAGCTATAGGACATTGATCGTCGGATGAAGGTATATAATCAATATTTGTTCGTACAGCAAAAGCAACTGGTTTTGTTTTACATCGTTCAAGTGCTTCAATTGCTGTACGTGTTTGATCACGAGGTTTTATCGGTGGAGTTAGACCGCCAACAGCTGCTGTTTGTACTTCCGGTGTATCACCATCTAAACTCTCTGATGATTGTTGACTGAAATTGGATTCAGCTGAACCCTAGATAAAAAAAAATGAACAAAAAAAATATAGAATGTTCAAGGGAAATTCCAAGTTTTCTTTGTATGCATAAGGGAATTGATATTTAATAAGTTTTAAACTACACACCAATATCATACGATTGACGAGTATTCCAAAATTCATCTTTTATTATTATGCCGAACGATCCTTTGTTTTACTTGTCTTTTACTATACATCTGGTCTATCATCAATCAGTATTTGTCAAATATATTTTTACTAAACTTGAGTAATTATCTATATAGGATTTTGTTTTTCTTTTGTTAGTAAAGATAATCAACACTATTGAATACCGATTATATTCTATTATAGCGAAAATATGAACTATAACTATAATCTGGTATTTATTAAAACGTTAATATTTTCCTTTCATTCATAGACAAAACAAAAACTTACACCTGTTGTTGTCGAATAAGCACTATCAGCTGAGTATTGTTTTACATTTCGAACAGGTGGTATGAACATTTTTCTTCATATCACTTGATAATATTAATCAAATAAAACTTCATCATTTATGTATATCAATATCGTTTGTCGCCTATTCTAATGCATGATGAAAAAACTAATTCTTTTTCTCTCGATTCTCACAATGGTTACTGAGAATATATATATATTTTTTTTTCTATTCTTCGTTCTTTTATCTCGCTTGATTATAGTAAATAGGTATCAATGGAATGTCGCGTTAAGCGACAAGAATGCAGGCGGATGTTTGTTAATTCTACACACGCACATGTAACAGAGTATAGAAAAACACCAGCATCAAATCATGATTTGACACGCATAGACAACGAACAACATAGAATATAGACGCATTCAGTTCCACTCGTCCTACCAATCTAACAAAGCAAACAATCTCGATTTCCTTTTTTTTTCTTCTTATAGACAACGCATTTTCTTTTTTTTTATGCTATTGGAAATAATTACAAATAAAAATCTTTTTTTTTTTAAAAAAAAGGAATCGCTATTTTTTTTGTCTCAAGCAATAAATTCATTTAATTAAATGTCAATAGAAAAAAAAAATTACATTATCAATCAATTTAGGAAACACTTACTTGACGATTGATACTATTCGAATCTGATGATAGACTACTGTCTTGTGCTGTTCCAAGACCACCCAATCTTGGTGAAAATGGTGGTTTCTAAAAATAAGATACTCATTAATTTAAACTAGCCACGTGAAAATAAAAA